ACGCTGCCGCCCTCGTGGCTTTGGTTTTGGCGTGCATCCAGGATCTGGGTCCAATGATGATTGTCGGCGCCACATCTGGTCTAAGTGCGATCAGAGGGGGTCTCATCGCTTGCCTGGCTGCTGTGGTACTTGTCGCATCTGCAACCCCCCGGCCACGGCGCATGCTCGTCACGGACACGGGAAACGAGGAAACGACAATAGCTGACGAGACGTCTCCTGAGGAGACATGTTCCTTGTTCTCGTACTATTGCTCATATGAGTGGCTGACATATGTGGTCTTGCGAGGCTGTCGGAGAGATCTAACAATGGATGATCTGCCCCCTTTGCCCTCGTATGATGAACCTTCAAAGTGGCTGAAAAAGATCAAAAAACAGCGCCTCAAAGGGGGAAAGACATTCCGGACGCTATGTAGATTGCTCAAGACGGAAATCAGAGGTATGATATGCTGGTCGTCAATCACTGCAGTTTTGGATTTTGTCGCGCCATATTCCATGTTACGACTGCTCGCGTACCTTGAAACCCCAGAGGATGCAATCATTCATCCCGCTCTGTGGGTGTCCCTTCTATTCATCGGCCCGATGTCCCGTTCGCTCTGTTATCAGCAATACATTTTCACTGCTACGCGACTTCTCGTTCGTGTCAATTTCTCCCTTGTGCAGGAGATATATCAGACCGCAATGCGGTCCTACCTGTACGACGACTCTATACTTGAATCCGATACAGATGATCGTCCGAAGTCTTCTCGGAAGATGAGGGATTCGGGGAAAGGAGCATCAAAGTCGAGCCAAGCCAATATAACCAGCCTGATGTCGTACGATGTCGACGCGATATATAACTCTAGGGATATCTTTTACGTGGCTACTGCAACCCCGATCGCCACCACAATTGCTGTGATATTTCTGTATCGGATGCTCGGTTGGCCGTCGCTGCTCGGTGTCTCTGCGCTTCTATGTCTGACGCCTCTCCCCGCGTTGGCGTCTCGCAGGGTTTCACGCATCCAGAGATCTGTTATGCAAGCGACAGACGTCCGCCTCTCTAAGATATCCGAATATTTGAGCTCCATCCGAACTCTGAAATACTTTGGATGGGAGCACGCGGCAATGGATTCTATTAACGAAGCTCGGGGTATTGAGCAACATCGTCTCTGGAAACGGAGTGTTTATGCTGCTGCAATTTCAATGGCCGGCGACCTATTACCAATGGTGAGCTTGTTGATTATGTTTTCCGTCTTCGTGCTATTCACCAATAATACTCTGCGGGCTGCAACGGCTTTCACATCCTTGTCTATCATGGAAACCTTGCGGTCCCAATTCGTCTGGCTGTCGAATATCAGCAGAGCTGCTGCCCAAGGAGCAGAATCGCTCCGGAGGGTCGACCACTTCTTTGATACGGCAAAAGAAATCAAACGACATCCTGAAGGGCCATTGGAGTTCAGGAATGCAACCTTTCGTCGGACCCCTATTGCTGCTTTCAGATTGCATGACGTATCGATTTGCTTCAAACCACGCGCCCTTAACGTAGTTACAGGCCCTACTGGAAGTGGAAAGACCTCTTTGCTGCTGTCATTGTTGGGAGAAACCATACTCGAAGCTGGAACTGCCTCCTGTCCACGAGACGTAGCGTATGTTCCACAAGCTCCTTGGCTCCAGAACGACACGATTCGGGAGAACATCACCTTCTTCAGTCCATTCGACAAAGCCCGCTACGACACAGTCATCGAAGCGAGCGGCCTGGTGCAAGACCTCCAACAGCTCCCAGCTAGGGATCTTACCATCATAGGTGAAAAGGGGACGTCGCTTTCTGGTGGCCAAAAACAAAGGGTATCCTTGGCGAGGGCCCTTTATTCGCAGTCGTCCACACTTTTGCTGGATGATATATTCTCTGCTCTTGATACCCATACAACCACACTTGTTTACGAGAAGTGTTTCCGCAGTGGCTTGCTCGCGGACAGGACAGTTGTGCTTATCACGCATTATCCGGCTGCTCTGCAGGATGCCGAATTACTTGTCCGCCTTGATCATGGTAAGGCATCTGCAGTAGAAACACCTTCGAGCCTCCCGCAGGCCCTTCTACAGCGCACTCGCTGCAGTACACCCGCAACCGACACAGATTCGGCATCTTTAGGTGACCGGCTGGTCGTAGAAGAACCTTATGATGCCCCTTCAGAGCCCACAACCACCATTGCCCCTGCTCATGAGCAGCAAAGTCCGCAGGTAGGAATCATGGCTAAGGAAACATCGGCCACTGGGCGCGTACCACGCACATTATGTAAGTTACACCTGGAGATATCCTTGCATCGCACCTAACTGTTTCCTCAAGCTCTACAATACATGCTCTTATTCGGCGGGCCATATTACGCACCCCTAGCAATGACCGTAACCATCATGGTACAACTTGCTTACTTTGTGATCACTTATTGGCTCTCCATCTGGATGGGAGCATATGAGAAGTACGAGAACCCAAATTCTCTATACTACCTAGGGGTATATGCCGCAGCGATAATCACTTTCCTTTCACTACAGCTTAGTGGCAACCTTCTGTATCAGTACGGAAGCTGGACAGCTGCAAAAAAGATGCATAGACAACTGGTGACGGCGGTGCTGTCTGCTCCTGTTTCTTGGTTTGACCAGAATCCGATCGGACGGCTAATCAACCGTTTTGGAAATGATACCCGGTCACTGGACACAGTTCTGATAGACTGGCTGCGGATGTCTATTGAGAATGGATTGCGCTTCTTGCTTCGCATTGCCAGTGTTGCTTCTATCATGCCTATATTTGCTCTCCCCGCCGCCGTTATCTGCGGTATTGGGTTCGTCATCGGAGAGATGTACACGCGCACTCAGGTCTCCATCAAGCGGTTGACGTCCATAAATTACTCTCCAGTGTTTTCCCATTTCACGGATTCTCTGTCCGGCCTGTGCGTAATTCGTGCCCGCAAAGACATGGATCTAGTGTTCCAGAGGCTATTAGCAGAGAAGCTAGCCGTGCATGCTCGTTCCGCGGAAACACAGTATAATTGCAACCGTTGGATATCTGTCCGATCTGACCTCTGCGCCGCCTCTGTTGCAGTTGCAGCGGGATGCGTGGCTTACTTCTGGTCGGGACCAGCGGGGCTAGTTGGTTTCTCATTGACCAACGCCATCGGCCTCAGCCAGAATATCCTCACCTTGGTGCGGACAATGAACGAGCTTGAGGTCGAGCTGAATTGTTTCCAGCGGGTGCGAGAATACACCAGCATCGAACCCGAAGAACATCTCAGTGAAGAAGACCAGGCAAAAGCCGCGGCCATTCCGGCCAGCTGGCCTACGTCCGGACGTGTCGAGTTTCACAAGGTTACCGCGCGATACCAAGAAGACGGTCCGGACGTCCTACGCAATGTTTCCTTCGTCGCGAATCCAGGCGAGCGCATTGGTCTCGTCGGTCGAACGGGAAGTGGGAAAAGCACCCTTGGACTGTCTTTACTGCGATTCGTGAACATCGCATCAGGTCAGATAACCATCGACGGAGTCGACATCACCAAGATTCTCCTGACCCGGCTCCGTACAAGCGTCACCTTGATCCCCCAAGAACCAGTTCTCTTCTCAGGGGACGTGCACTCCAACCTCGACCCCTTCGGCGAGTCCAGCGAAACAGAACTCGCCGCTGCCCTGGCATCCTGCACCTCCATTCATGTTCCCGGCGCCAGCGACCAGGGCGACCACTCCGTCAAAACAACCCGCCCCCTCACGCTGTATACCCCTGTAGCGGCTAACGGCGAGAACTTCAGCCAAGGCCAACGTCAGGTCCTCAGTCTCGCACGAGCCATGTGTCGACGATCTAAGGTCTTGCTCCTGGACGAGGCGACTGCGTCCGTCGACCATGAAACGGACATGCACATGCAGCGTGTCCTCAGGGAGATGTTCCCCGATTGCACCATTATCGCGATTGCCCATCGGTTGAGGACCATCATGGACTACGACCGGGTGCTTGTGATGGTTAATGGGGAGATAGTTGAGTACGTTTCTCTTTCTTGTCCCCATGCCAATCGAACCTTGGATATTTGTAATGTTATGGGAGAGTACTAATGGACATGATAGGAACGACTCCCCCGCCAACCTGGTCAAGAAAGAGGGTATTTTCTGGGATATGTTGCGCAATACAGGGGAATACGACGAACTGGTTCAGATGATTGAGACGAAACATCATATCTCGTGAAGGAGCCACCAATGCCGTGAGATCAAAACATGTCTTGGGATTCGCATACAATTTGGACTCGTGGACATAGTTCATGAAAATTGCATCTAGAGGATTGAATACATCATACGAACCATTACTTCTACCCATCTCCATGCCTCATTATCAAAATAGAGTAGACCAAGCAGTGGACGACGGTTTTGTTTGCTTGGCCTAACGTCGTCGGCAATAAGACCGCCAGGACGGTGATGATGGACGCTGCACCAGGCATGATGAGAATGAGAATTGTGCTTGTGCTGGAGCTCTACTTCCATGGTGTAGCCCAGATGTGAGGTTGGATTTATACCCGTGGGCAATTGCCTTCTTCATGGCCGGAGTAGCATCTTATCCAGAATCAAATGTCAGCATTCATGCAACCCCCCCATCAAAAGGACTCCGCATGATGATCGCAATGGAGACCATAGAATGCCGGCAAAGGTCAACAGGATGGTCGGTAATTGAAGTCGAGATATGCCAACGTCGGAATTGTAGTATATTCGGTGCATACCTTCCATGCTCAGCGAGCTGTGTCCCTCCTCGACTTGCCGTCATCTTGCGGTGAGAGTGCTGGACTTGGTGGTAACCTGACTTTAGGCATAGTTTCAGCAAGTTATTAATAGCTTTGAATCATTGTCAGGAGATTCATCCCAATCATCTAGAATCATGAAGATCGTGAAGATCATCTGGAACGTGATATCTGGACATTCAAATTGCGGTGGAATTCTGCCGAACTTTACCCGACAATCCTGATATCAATAATCATAATTAGTGCCCACTTTCTCAACTAAGGAGCGCTGGCGCAACGGTAGCGCGTTCGACTCCAGATCGAAAGGTTATCCGTTCAAATCGGGTGCGCTTCATTTTTTTCATTTTTTTCCCTCTTACAGAATACTTACCCAGAGTGTAACCCCGACGAATATCCCTGAACCGCATATATAAAATCATAGACAGCAGAAGCAGCTCCATCTTGACCACTCCCGAATTATTACGTGTAAATATATGGTCACTACGATAATTAGGGTATCTAATCGTTTCTGGTCCTGGCTGGTGATACTATGCAAGATGCCGTGTGACTCTCGAAGCCCTACTACCTTACATCCAGAAGGACTCGGGGTGATACACATACACCCAATATCTATCCAGCTTTGATTGTTAGTGAATTGGGTTGTTAACTTGAACACTTGTTGAGTATCTAGCAAGATATTTGGGATTATCAAGAAAACTGTTGTTGTCACCTGACCTCTTTCCCTGGCTTGTATATGGCTGCTACGCGCCCTCGGATAGCTTCATCATCCTTCTTGATTCTTTCCCGTAGCTATTTCGTCATTTCTTAGAAGTTTCAACAGCTTGGATCATGGGTATACTTCAATGTATGGAGGTGTTATGTCGCCTTACCAACCGAGCAGGCTTATGATTCAGCATTGTCATTCTCCTGGACATTGCCATCCTCCACCGGGATTTTGCCCTTCATAAGATTCTTCAGGCATAACAAATGTTTCTCCCGATGCAAGACATCCGCCCCGGCTTGGTACACCCGCAGAATTTCAGAGTTCCGTGTCTCCACGTCGAGGACCATATTTTCAATGGCGCCGGCGGCATACTCCTCCACGCGTGTCTCGTTCGCCTCTTTTGCCTCCTCCTGAATTTCATGGAGTCGCTTGAGCCAGTACATCCATCTCCATGGTGTGAATCCAGTCGATGATCGCTTCCCGAACTCTGACTCGATGAACATCTCCCCACCCTGGCCAATCGTGCCGGGGCAATCATTCCACGAGACATCCGAGAGTTGAATGAGATTGCACCCTGCCTCCTTGAACCACGCACAGGCCGCTGGCAACAAGCGTACCAGATCAAGTTGCCTCATACACCGTCTTGTACATTCATCATCCAGCCCCTCCTCCGTGGAGCGAAGGCCTCGTCCTGTCTCAAACGTATTGCGAAATAGGATGAGCGCGACCTGGCACATTCTGTCCTTGCTGATGCGGGTTGATGCCAGCTTGGCCAAGAAGAACGTAAAGTTGACGCGGTGGGCACTCGACATCGATGCGCAGTTGTTGGTCCAGAAGTCGGTCATGTCGGTGACCAAGAAGGGCAGGTCATTCCACAGCGTGCCTTCGACTGTTCGTGCGATATCGATCCCGTATACGCCCCGCACAGGCCTGGTTAACGGGCCCTTTCCCTGGATGCGGAGGATGTCGAGGACCAGACGATCGTGGTCGGTCGTTTCATGCGACGTATGTCGACTGAGCTGGTAGTATATATGCCACTGGGAATGAAGGTAGCGTTCGAGGGTATCTACCCCATCTCCAATATTGCAGTATCGATCGCTGACGACCCAGGTTCGATTATAAAAGGCTGCTCCCCGGAGCTCCTTAAATCCCCCCTGAGCGATGCATTCCTCCACCTTCTCGTCCTCTCTAATGGAGGTCATGTCTAACGTGGTAAGTTCGGGGGTGCCTCTCGGCGAGGAGCTCAGCAGGGATTCACGGAGGTGGTGCATCTTGAGATGGTGATGGTGTTGGTTAATGGATCAGTAATGAGTTTGAGAGAGTCAGGTAAGGTAGGTATCCGGATAAAGCCCAGCAGGGTTTTAATAGTCGTTCCTCTCATCAGGCTATCCTGCCGCAGTAGAGTACTAGTTACACAGCCTGTCAATTTCTTTGTTGTATCTCTAGCAATAATACGTGGACACAAAAGTGACACTGCATGCAATACGGAGTAGTATGTACCAATAGTATCTAGTCTAGACTACTCCATATATCAAAAAGATATGTAACTTACTTGAATACAAAGAAGCAAGACTATTCAACCGTAGTCATTTAGATTGATGAGTGGAGATTACGGAGTCCATGTCATCACAACAAAGAACCCATAATGAAAAGTGGTTTCAGACATGAGTGATGCCTCCTTTCAATGACCTGTTGTAGGGTAAGCTACCTTATAATTATTGAATAGTGCCAGACCGACACCCGAGATATACAACTCAGCACCGTCCATCCCCTCTGACCCGACCAGCGCTACTGGAACGACTATCTCTGCGTCGCTTGCATCCTTCTCAAACTCCCTCATGTACGTCCTTATCGTGATGCCCATTGTCTTCTTGAAAACGCGGCACAGATAGCTCGGTATTGATGATATACTAGAAGAGAGGTACAGTACAGTTACCCCGATATCAGAAACTCTGCCTGAGGCACTGTGCCCAGAACTCTTGTGAACTTGTGGGCCAATCAGAAGCCACAGAAGTAGTCGATCACCTGACCTACCAACCCCTAGTTTAGAGCCTAGGAAATCGCTCCAGGATGATAAGAGCTTCAACTACCCCGTACGGAGTACTCCGTATACCATGGAAATCTATATATCAGCTTTTCGGAGTGAACCTGGCCTGTATCAGCTGATCCGCTTGTAAGTGAGAGCGGGAGTTCTACTGCTGATAGGAGCCTCTAGTAGAGGCCCTCTACTAGGTCTCCTGACTTATGAGTTCCCCAAAACTAGCGTAAAATTATAAGATCATTTAGTAGACTATAGCATGATGCCCTCAGGGATCCTTCAGGGTGCATGTAATAGATCAAAAGCAGTGAGGAATCATTGAGACTTATCGCGACACAGGTATGTGATAGGGATGAAGTAAGCCAAATCGGTGAACAGGACACCGGCAGTTGGGATGACCATAGCCCCTGTTCTAGGAATATTGTATGGTCTTGTAATATATCTCGCCAGGTAGTCTCTGTTGAGCTTCCGTACCAGAGGTCGTGCAAGGATCCACAGTAGTAGAGAGAAGAGTGAAAAGCAGAGGCTTTTGCTGATCCTGGAACCAATATACTTTTCACTTGTATAATGCTCTTTTGCTGGCAATATAAAAGGAAGGAATAAGAAAAGTAGACGGTACAGAGCCGGTTTATAGAAATCATGGTAGCAGATGATAAAATATTCAGGGTCGATCTATCATCTATGAACTCAATGTGGCCAATCAAAAGCAGTACCTACAAAGGGGAAAAAAAACAGTTGGAAAAAAGATGTGAAGCGCACCCGATTTGAACGGATAACCTTTCGATCTGGAGTCGAACGCGCTACCGTTGCGCCAGCGCTCCCATGATTGAATGAAGCTACCATTTTACCATAAAATATTTGAGGGGATACACCATAAAACTATGTAACAAACCATATGGAACCCTCCGTATATCAAGCAAGGGAGGGACACAGCTCAGCGGTGGTAGGATTTAGGTCAGCGGTGGTAGAACTTTTTGCCAAGATTCAATTCTCTACCACCGCTGACCTAAATTCTATCACCCCTGAGCTGTGTGTACTTATTTTCCCTTGAATTTGCCCTTTTTCCGGGCTTTATCCTATCCTCCCTCATACAACAACCTAGGGATCATGTGGTCCTATCTTCGAATCCTCACTTATACCAGATGATAGTAGTTTCTATTCCAAGTATACTCGGTTTTAAACTCAGGGTCTCGATGGATTAGTATTCCTGACGAAGTAGGAATAATCCCAGGTTCATAACTATTGAATCAAAATACCGTGAGACCAGGAAGAATGCCTGGACATTAAACCTGTATCTAAGACTTTCGATGTGATTTCAAGTTGACGGTTTATATGGGATTGGAATGGGAGTAATGGGTGTAGGAATGGTCCTATAGTGGGAAGGCGTGCAACAAGCAGCTGTGTAGAACCTATAAAACATATCAACCATCGACATAGGTGCGAATAGTAAATCTAAACGACGGGGGGTGGAATCCTGGCAAACTGGGGTGTATAAGAAGCTCAATCGACGAGATCAATGGATGACTTCGCGGTGCTGTCCCTAGGCTCGGATGGCCACTTGCAGGGTCACTATAGCACACACTATATCCAGAGGTCTGAAGTGGCTGGGAGGAGAAACGGAACGGGGAAGGAAGAAAGAAGAAAAAAAGAGTGAAGCGCACCCGATTTGAACGGATAACCTTTCGATCTGGAGTCGAACGCGCTACCGTTGCGCCAGCGCTCCTGAGTTGATGAAGTTTCGGTTAACTAATAAGAAACCTATCCAGAGGCCAGATATTACAGAAGAAAATAAACAAAGAAAAAAAGTGAAGCACACCCGATTTGAACGGATAACCTTTCGATCTGGAGTCGAACGCGCTACCGTTGCGCCAGCGCTCCCTGAGTTGATATTTCAGCCGGTTAATGTGATCTAGAAGCCGGGTAACAGACAGACCAATGTTACCACAATGGTATCACATCAAATAGCTATGGAATGAATGGAAGAAACATCCTCTTACTGAAATCGATTTGATTTACCGACTTACTTGTCATTCGTTTCAGTTTCCCATTGTAATCTTATAATCGATTCTTTAATTTGATCCCGATCGTGTAACGCTATGATCCTAAAAGACTGGATCCTCAAGATATATATGATTTTATGTTGAACGCATGTTATACCGTGACTGTCAGTGGTCTGTTTTAAAATTAGTAGTATGGTGCAGGCTAGTAGTAGAACTTGCAACCATGGATTACTAGTACAGTACTATCATACTGATTTTATACTGGCAGGCCCGTCAACGTCATGGACGCTGTATACTGACCACTGTCCCATGGACCCGAGATGCTCAGGCATTGATCTAAGATTACGGGCAATATTTTACCAATCACCCTCTCATCATAAGCAACAGTGTACTGTGCCTCATGAGATCCCCGATCCCCAATATTCAGGTATTCGGCAGAGTTGAGTCCAAGATCTGTATTTAAAGAGGATCCGGCTACAAACTCACCTTCTGGATATTCAGAAGAACATATTGTTGTGTCCGGATCTCTGTGTTTACAAGAGACGTCCATGTGATGTGGTTAGACAAGCCATAATCCCATAGGTCATGAACTT